CCATTTATTTTTTCCTATTGTTTCCATATTTTTACACGGCCCAAGGGATACCCGCTATACTATATACATATAAATATTGTCTGCTATACATATGGACGAAGAGATGTGTTTCATGAAGTGGATGTCTAACGACCATATAATATCTTTAATTAAGTAATTTCGTTAAAATTCACTACCTACCCATCTGGTTTTTGCAGTTCATAAAAATATTGATTTTACTAAAAGTGGATGTAACATAATTATATATTATAATTATATGATATTTAAGTTTGTTCAATAATCAATCGTTCTGTACAAGATAGCAGCAGCAGCAGCAGGTACCCACGCAAAAACCCGAACACGAGTTAGTACACGACTGTTCCCCGAAAATTATTTTACCTAAGTAAGTGTATTGTTCATATTTGCATSGAGCTGTGGGGCGCTAAATTGTTTTGACAGTCAGTTATTCACGGTCTGCATGGTCCCATTGTTGTTTCTTCTACGTTGGAAACCTACCTACCCGTGTTATTACATTATTTAGGATTAGGTTAAAAAATGAAATAAAAGTGCGCCCGTGTAGAACAACTGTAATTATTACCGCGAAACAATCAAGTCTGTTTTTGACATTTGCCCGTCTGACTACGGTGTATGCKCGTATATGACTGCTGTACAGCACGCAGAAAAATAAAATATTATGTTTGAAAATGAAACGTTAAGTTTTTAAATCTCGTGGCTATATATCTACTTACTGCGATCTGGTCATTATTTCCCTGACGATTATATTATGTACTTAGGGATACCCTCTGTTTGCCAATATTCGAATTTGTTTCAGATATAACATTGCCWACGAATGAGCTTCGGTTATGATGTTTTGTTCATGATTAGAGTTCGGACGTTGTGTTGGCATTTGCATTTTTTCCCGCAATGTTGGTGTATCAGTTATAACTCATAGGTAAATTAAAAATTCACAGTAGGTACGCTTTTTAACTTAATCTTATAGAGGCTTATATTTATAAATTATAAACATTTTATATTATCCACATAATTTATAATAACAAGACATAAATATTAAAGACTTAATGTAAATGAACAATGTAAAAGTTAATATATATATACAAGTATATAGGTATCAAGATACCTTTCWGAATACATTAAATTAGTTTTTAATTCCAGTATATCACATAGTAGTATATAAAAAATATATCTCTCATAAAAAAAAAACTCTTGAGATTGGTCATTGATAACGGACTGTAGTGGCTATATTAGTTATTAKATGAGATCGGAATCGGAAAAAATGGTTCAAATGAAAGTATAATTCGATTTTTAGTTGGGATGAGTCTTYGTCTCTTTGATTTCTCTGCAGCTATTCAGTTATATCGTACACCGGACTTCTATTATTCAATCTTCTATTGAATGATATCACCGGAGGTATCAAATAAATTATCCCGAGGAAAATATATAAACAACCGTAGAATAAAACCTGAAAATATATTAATTATT